AAGCACCCAAATACACAACAGTAAGTATAAAATTGATTGAGGAATTCTTGAAAGGATCAACAATGTGTACCTAAAGCTAACCCACTGAATTAATTGATATTTAAAATGGCAGAAAGAGGAGGATGATACTTATAGTAGTGATGAGGAGCAGCACAAGGTATGTTCAGCCCTCGCTTATATCATCCATGTCATTGAGTTGAAATGCTTATTGTTTTTTTCTTTTGTTAGCAGAAAAAGAAGCTATTTAAGGTACAATGCAGTGATGTTGTGATTCTCGGAAATAAAAGTGAACTAGCAATTATTTTCATTAAAGAAATCACGTCGTCCCTTGGAACGCATCCAGTTTGTCTGTGTAATATTATTCCTGTTTAATTATTTTCTTGCATGCTGTTGACAGTGGAGTCCAATACCCAAGTATGAGAAGCAAGAGCAAGTAGAAGAAGAAGAAGAAGAAGTAAGTTATATTATTTATCATGCATTTTTGACTTTTATTAATGAATATAGATACACGCTTGCTTATTTGTTATTGCACATGGTTAACAAGAGCCTGAAGTTTTAACTCCTCCTGTAATACTTTATACCTAATACTTTATTTGTGCTTAGTTTTGTTAGTGTGACTCTCTAGTTATTTTTGAAGTAAGCTATGCATATCTGACTTAGAGCCATTTTGCAGGTTGAAGAATTTGAAGAGGAAGTAATGGCGGTGAGAACCCATAAGTTTTAGTACAGAAACAAATAGTTGGAATATGATTATTTTAGTTGACGTATGAAATGCTTTACACATGTATTCTATGCATAATGGGCATCTTATGAGGCCTACTTTCTAGATTTAGTAACCAATTGTAAGTATATCTGTGTAWCATGTGATAATGATGAAATCTCTGGTATGAGAACCTGTTTTTTTCAATGCAATATTTTAGTTCTGTTGTACTTTCCACATGAGTCATCATTAATTGGCCACTGGCACTAACAGTATTGATTTTTTTTTCAGCCAGAAGTAATGTTCGACCAAGGTACTTTTACTTAGGCAGTGTATATAGATGTAGTTTTGTTTTTTGTATTATTTCAGGAAGATAGTCCTGTTGTGTTTTCTTAAAATTCATCGAAGTCATGCAAAGGTGAGTTTACAAATCTGCTTCCATGTTANAGTTTCAGCTTGGTTGAAAACGTTTTCTAGAAATAAATTCCAAAACTGACCTGAACTAAACAAGTGATGAAAAAAAATTATTACCTTCTGTTTGGCTTTTAGTAGTCTGCTAAAATCATAGTTTTGAACTTTTTTGAATTATTCAGAACCRAACAGATTTATTTTGTTTAAAACAGCTGGTGTTGCTCAGTGTTACTCTGAAGATAATGATTTCCTTATTTTTTTATCTAGCTGAGGTGAGTTTTAAACCTTCAAAATGGAATGTTGCCATRGAAACGTTGATGAGGCTGAAACTGTTGTCATTGCAAACTTTTATCTTATGTGCATTACTTGTCCAAAAATCAAGGTCATTGGTATAAATTAAGGCTATGAATACATTAAGTTATAGTGAGAGGCATGGTAAAATAGTAACCATATAGTAACCCACCTTAAGGAAAATGACTTTATTGGCTGACGTGATGTAGTCATGAGTGATTCAAAGCAAAAAAAAAACTTCTGCTTTGAGAAGTTAAGAAACATTAAAATCTATTCCCGTGTGGTTGAAAATTTGTGGTACCATTTAGAACAAGTCGCATCGGCCAATATGGTCCTCATAATATGGTTCATACTGCTCAATGAAACAATAATTGAAAAATCCCTCTTCCTGACAAAGTCTGCAATGAACATGAACTTATATTAACCTCATATGAACTTGTAATGAAAAAGACTAGAAAAAAAATAAAATATCAAAGGTTATTGACCGAGTGATTGATGAAATAACATTTTGACTATTCCCTAAAAATGAGAGAAAAAAGTGGCAATTGAATAAATCTCTGATGTTGCAAGGACTTTACTAACAATAATTCCAGTTGTAGTTGTGGAGTCTGAATGAAAGCATCACTGCCAGAGAAGTGTTCTTAATGACAAGTGGGTACTTATGTTAATACACTGTGCTATCATGAATTTCTTTATATGCATTGTACCATTCATGCATTAATTCAGAGAAAGCTTT